AAACGCTTCACTAAGTTAGTCCAGTTTAGTCTAGTCTAAGCCAGTCCAGCTTAGTCCTTGAAGCTAATCCAGTCCGAGATAATCCGGCGCAACAAACGCCCCCTTAGAGGATTCCTTATCACGCCACACACGGAGATCTTTCCATTTATAGGTAAGAGGGCTTCTCTTTTACCGTTTTCTACTAAGCAATAAAACTGCATCCCCTGATGTCCGCATCTCCACTTAATTGATTAACCTCACAACCTTTCTTCACTTTCTTTGTTAAACTCTTCCTACAGGTTAGGTCTTTTTATCCCATTTTAATAGTGTATTAGTTTATCTTTTTTAATAAATTTCTTGAGAAACTTGGAGCAAATTATTAATAAGGTACCGGCAGAGATAGGAAGACAAATAATTGAACCAAGATAGGAGACATTAACATTGAGAGAGTAGGGTGGAATCGGTCTTCCCACGCCTTTGTTGACAAGAATCTTAATTAATGTTAGACGGCAACTTGATATGATTCCAATGGTAGAAGAAAAGTCGTTTGTAGTGAAGGGAAGCCCAAAGGTCCATTAATTTTCACATTACACAATGACGTCCATTAATTTTTCTGATTTGGATGCTCTTTTTGTTAACATCATTGCTGCGTAGTTACCACTATCTTTCCAAGTTCTAAGTTCTGAGTATGGCCTATCAATCTAATCCAATGGCTGTTGTATATTGTGTTCCAAAAGAATTGAATAATCCAATTAGTAAGTCAAGTTAATACTTGCCACTCTAGTTGTTATTGTCTAATTTATGAATTGAGATTTTCACATAGGAAAATTTTATTTGAACCCCTGTAACCTCTTTCTATATCCAGCTTACTCTCTTCACCCATATTATTTTTTATTAAAGAATTAATCTCTCTTTAAACCCAAATTTATTACCTAAACTACCATCTCAAACCCAATTCAAAATGTTAAGTTATCTTTACACCCATTCTCTTTATAAAATAACATGTAATTGAATTTTTTTTAAAAGAGGCGTCCTTGCCCCCCCCCCCCCCTTCCCCCCACCTCTTCCCACTAGCATTTCCATGGCTACCTTTTTTTTTTTTTTTTTTTTCTGCTACCAAATCCAGACATTTGCCATTTTTCTTTCTACTGATGTGTATAAACAACAAATCAAACAATTCATCCCCTTCTATTTATCAACAAGCAAAGAAGTTTATAATCTAAGAACATTGGTAATAAGTTTTTCCTTAGAATTTTCCAATTGCAGAAAGTTTAACAAACCATTCGGGATTGATGAAAAAATTGAAACCAAAATACTCATCTTCTGAACTTCAAAAAAAAAAAATTGAAATCAAACAAACAAAATATTCATAAATTGAGTCATACCTTATTTGGAAGATTCAAAACTTCAAAATCACCATCCATCAATAAAAAAACTTGTTTTTCTCTACAAGACCTATTAGGGTTTTAGCCAGAATGAACGTAGAATAAACAAGAAGTGATGGTAGGGTTTAATGGGTTTATTGATAAATTTGAGTTTTATTATTAATTTCATTTTGTACTTAATAGTAATTATGAAATAAGGTAAAATAGATAACTAGGTGTAGCAAGAGGTTACATGGGTTCAAATAAAATTTCCCTTTCGCATTCACATTTTATCCCTATGCATTACCAAAACAAGGGTAAATTACATTGTGTACCCTCAAGTTTAGATGCTATTGTAACTTCATACAACATCTTTAAAACCTTTCAATCTTATACATTATTTATCTTTTCATTTCAATATCATACATCCGTCACAATTTTTGTTAATTTTTCCATTATCTGCCTACATGGATGCCGTGGGCTCCACAATATATGTGCCACGTGTATAAAAGTACCAAAAAAAAATTCCATTTAAAAAAAAGTAGTTAAAATAATTTTATTTTAAAACTAAAAAAAGAAAAAGAAATGAAATGCAGAACTTCATCTTCATCACCGACACTCCTTACCGCCGAATCCCAGATCAACAACCAAAACCATTCTCCAACTTGCCCAATACATTCAGAACCTTGAAATCGTCACGACTTAGTACCGCTGAGTTGCTCTTCAAAGGAGATCTAACCCAAAAAAAGCTCTCAACCCACCTTAAAAAGCCCCAGATTTTGGGTCCGTTTGGATCTCGAGCCGGAAATTGGGGAAGACGAGGCGAATCAGGTCAGGTTTGAGCGAGGGAGAGATCTAAGGTTCTGAGAAAAGTCGTTGCGGCAGAGGACGAGATTTATGTACACCCTGAGAAATGAACCCTTCGAGTGGGAATAGAGCGATGAAACGGGTCGCCGTAAAGCTAGTTATCTATGAGACAAAGGTGGTTTAATTGTTTGAGGTTAAGCGGGTGTATTCAATTGAGAATTTGAGAGATTTAAATGGATTGTTATAGAGTTTAATTGATTTGTAGGGATTCCATGTAACATTTTGATTAATTCCCAATTCCTTCAAAATCTCATGGAAAGAGGTGAGATTTGTGGATGATTAAAATACACTATGAAATCTCTCTAATTCTCTTTAATTCCTCAACTTTATCAAATTCTTTAAAATCAAATTCTAATTGAATACACCGGGAATATTATAAACTTCTTTAAAATTCTGATTGAATACACATTGAATTTCAGAGAATCACTTAAAATCCTGATTGAATACACCTAGATTCGTTAAAAGAATTAAATTCCCTCAAAATACCAATTGAACACCCCCCTCCCACCCAAGAATTGGAGTGGGAATTTTGCCGCATAGTAGGTTGGAGAAGGGGTCCAGCATGGCGAGATTGGAGAGGGAGAAGGGGAAGGAAGGGATTGGGTCATTGGGGGAGAGGGACGGGAGGAAGAGCGCAGGGACTTGACATCATACACCGCCACCGGCCTCCCATTTGCTTTCGGGGAAAGATGGACATAAAACTTTGAGGAGTCCATATATGCCTCTGCGCCTGCAAAAAGAAAAAGGTGAAGGAAGATTCAGCAACTGTCAAAGCTAAGGCAAAAGGGTTTTTCTTGTTGGGCTTTAGAAATTTGGAATTAGGGTGGGGAAAGATGGTAGAAAACTAGATGGCAGCCGTGCCGGGGGAGGGGGCGATGGTGGTTTGGACGGAGAATGTTTTTGGACATTTTATTAGGTTTTGTTTTTATTTAATTTTATTTCGGTTTGGTTTTATTAAACATTTAAATATTATTTATTTATTTACATGGCAAAATTAACTTCCAGATCAGCAAAAATATGGGACTTACAGTTGCCACCCCACTGATTAATGGTCAAATTAACAGATTGACTAACGGATATATGAATTTATAAATAAAATACAAGTAGATGTATGTTATTGAAATGTTTTAAAGATAATGTATAAGGCTGCAATTGCATTCAAATGTGAGGGAGTAAAATGTAATTTACCTTTTTTATTAGGATAAGTCTTCCAAAGGAAAATATAATTATTTCATTTCTAGAAGTCTTCATTCAACAAAGGCGTTTCGTCCACTCTTCGGATTCGACGAAACTTCATAGCCTTTCTTTTCCTAACAAATAGGGGTGTGCTCAGAAAAAATAAAATTAAAAAAAAAAAAAAAAGTGAGGAAATGGAAATCATCTCCAGTCAATTTAATTTCTAGTAATAAAAGTAAATCAAGTCAATACCATGATCAGTTTTACTTTCTTATTGATTGATATATTAGATTTTTATTTGTATTTCCACACATCATTGTTATTGAATGATATTGACAGAGAAAGCTAGGTTAGTTTACGTTAAAAAGCAGATAGTTTGCTTCTATCCCATCATGTACGAGCGAGTGACACATTCGTTTTTTGTTAAACGTAAAATTTTGGGGTAATTAAAGACAAAAGGTTAATTGTGCCAAAAGAAAAGAAGTGGGATGGATGGATGGATTGATGTTTGTAAAAATTGGTGGCTGAAGCTTTAAGTAGTAATATCGATGATTCGATCCATCTGATGAAACACGAACACGTTGCCATGTGAAGAACCAGACACTTGGATCAACTACAAACAATATATAAATTAATAAAGAGATAATGAACCGTCCAAGAGGAAATTAAGATTTGATCAAATAAATGAGCGTTTGAATTTTTCTTCTTGTTTGTTTGTAGAGTACGTGTCCTCTTTTAAGATTGATCAACTGCTGCGAGCCTTACGAGTTACAACACTGCTTCTTGCGTAATTAATCAGAGGGAAATTATGAAAAACAATATTGATTGAAACAAGAAAAAGAAGGAGAAGCTTGTGGAGACTACATACATTTGTTTCACCGGATAGAAGGATCTCAACACCTTTAAATTCAAGAACAATAGCTATAGTGCTACTATGCACTGCCATCAAAACTACAAGCAAAGTATAGCCTCTACCCTTCACGAATGAAAGGAGAAGAAAGTGTGACATTTGCACAAGTTGCTAGACTTTAAAATTTTAAATCCTATATATATGTTTCTGCTAGTAATTATGATTTAGAAAATGTGCTGATTTTGTTCCTAAATCCTAATAAAAATTGAAATCAAACGAAAAAAAAAAAAATTGCAAAAATCGATTCATACTTTAGTTGGAGGATTCAAAACTTCTAAATCATCATCTATCGTTCAAAAAGAGCTTGTTTTTCTCTATGAAAGTGTCTTAGGTTTTAGTTAGAATGAACGTAGGATAAAAATTCCATGATGGTAGAGTTTAATTATTAGATGTGGGTTTATTGATAAATTTTAATTTATTGTTAATTTCATCTTGTGGTTAGTGGTAATTATGCAATAGGGTAAAAAAGACAATTCACATTCAAAGTTTAAATTGGGTGTAGAGAGAGGTTTTATGGGTTCAAATAAAATTTCTCTTAATCAGATCATTTTGTCGATATTGCGTGTGAGTGAGTTTTGTGGTCAAACTTTTGACCTAATTAATAAATTAATTAATTACGGATCACACTCGGCTTTAACTATTACAGCTGAATGCATACTTTTCTTCTGTAAAAGGCTATATATGTGTATATATATACTTGCAGTATTGTAATCTTCTTCCAAATTACTTTCCAGTTTCCAATAATGGAGCCTAAATACTTTTTGTTCTTCATTGTTGTTAAGATGCAGGGTCAGGGAATTAGGTGCTTCAAACTATTTCATGCTTCAATATTTGTGGCGCTAATTGTGCTACAATATTGCATCATTTCCCAATCCCTTGAATTCAATAATATTTCTTCAGGAGTAGTTGGCCACAGGGATTTTGTTAAGGTGCCGAAGGTGATCAGGTGCATAGAGAGGGAAAGAGAAGCACTCCTTGCTTTTAAACAGGGCCTTGCAGATGACTACAATCTCCTCTCTTCGTGGGGAAGAGAAGTCCACAAGCAAGACTGTTGCAAATGGGTAGGTGTCCACTGCAGCAACCGAAACAACCATGTTACTCAACTTAATCTTGGAAGGGATCGTTTGGATCAAGCTTACTCACTTCAACAGAAAGGACAGCAGGAGTATATGGGATATTATTTGCAAGGTAAGATGATAAGTCCTAAACTGATTGAGTTGCAGCATTTGAAATATTTGGCCCTTTCTTCTGTGAACTTCAATGGGACCAGACTTCCAGATTTCATTGGTTCTCTTTCCAATTTAAGACACCTTGATCTCTCTAATGCCTTTTTTGGTAGTCGATTTCCAAGTCAGGTTGGAAACCTTACCCACTTGCAATATCTCGATATCAGCATCAATTACTTTAACCATGTAGAAAATCTAAATTCATGGCTCCCTCATCTTTCTTCTTTAGCATATTTGGACATGAGTAACACCAATCTCAGTAATGTTCGTGACTGGCTAGAAGCAATTAACAAGCTCCCTAAACTTACGAACCTGAATTTACTGGGGTGTGGTCTTGCGTCTCCTGCAATTCATTTCAGTACTCTTTTTAATGTAAATTCTTCCAAAACTCTTGCTCATGTTGATCTCGGTTACAACCAACTCACTTCTCCTTCAATTTTTTTATGGTTGTCAAACTACAATGTCAGCCTTGTTGATCTTGCCCTCTCTTCCAACAGTTTAACTGGTTTAATTCCCCATGTTTTTGGAAACATGAGCTCTCTTGTCCACCTAGATCTCGGTGACAACCAAATTGAAGTAGGGATTCCACAATCTTTTTCCAAGTTATGTAATCTGCAAGCATTGTACCTTGACAACAATATTCTGAGTTTACAGCTGTCCTGGTTGGTTCAAATATTAATGTCTACATGCCCTGATCAGAACTCATTAGAGACTCTGTACCTGACAAACAATCATCTTTCTGGATCAATTCCGAATCTCACAAACTTTTCATTGTTGAAAGAATTAGATCTCTCTTTAAATCATGTAAGTGGAACAATACCTGAAAGCGTTGGGCATATGTCTAATCTGGAGGACATGTGGTTGGGTATGAATGCTTTGGAAGGGATAATTACGGAAACCCACTTCTCCAATCTCTCCAGATTAATATCTTTGGATCTGTCCTCAAACTCACTAGCTTTAAGCTTCAGTTCTAATTGGGTTCCACTTTTTCAATTGCAATACATTTCTCTGGGGTCTTGCATGATGGGTCCACATTTTCCAAAATGGCTTCAAACTCAGAAAAGTTATTTGAGCCTTGATATTTCTAATGCAGGAATTTCTGATATCCTTCCAAATTGGTTTTGGGGCATGTCGCCTCAAGATTATATAGATCTCTCAAACAACCAAATTCGAGGAATAATTTCAAATCCAACATTTGATTTTTCATCCTTCCCTCAAAAGGTGAATTTGAGTTGGAACCAATTGGAAGGTCCCATTCCTACATTTCTTTCCAAAGCATCATCTCTAGATCTCTCCAACAATAAATTTTCAGGGTTGGTTTCATTCTTGTTTCCAAAGACTCCAATCAAGGCTAGTAATTTAACCTTTCTTGATCTCTCAAGCAACCAATTATCCGAAGAACTTCCCGATTGTGGGATGCATTTTGGAAATCTAGTCTTTCTTGATTTGAGTAACAATGCCCTGTCCGGGAAAATTCATACCATAGTAGATTCTTTGTATTCTATTCAAACACTAAAACTAAATAACAATAGGTTTGTGGGGAAATTGCCTTCATCCTTGAAGAACTGTACAAGACTCACAGTTTTTGATGTTGGAGAAAATGAACTATCGGGTTTGCTACCTGAATGGTTAGGAGTTGGACTTCTAAATTTGGCTATCCTTATCCTCCGTTCCAATCACTTCTATGGAAGCATTCCATCACAATTGTGCAATATGAGAAGCATTCAAATTCTGGATCTCTCAATGAATAACATCTCTGGAAGTATACCCAAATGCCTCAATAGTTTAACTCTTTTGGCTCAAAAAGGAAGTTCAAGACTAAATATCACACATGAGTATCAGGGAGTCTATAGGGGAAACTCGAGCGTTTTTTATGATTATGCTGATGAAGAATCCTTGATATGGAAAGGAGTAATGTCCAAATTCAAAAGTACTCTGGGGCTTGTAAAGAGCATTGATCTGTCGAGCAACCGATTAATGGGGGAGATTCCTAGTGAAATCACTGATCTTGGGGGGTTGGTTTCTTTAAACCTGTCGAGAAACAATTTGACAGGTCAAATAACTCCAAAGATCGGGAAGTTGCAATCACTAGACTCGCTTGATCTATCAAACAACCAAATATATGGTATGATTCCAACAAGTCTCTTTCGAATATCAGGCCTTGGTAAGTTGGACTTGTCAAACAACAACCTGTCGGGAGAAATTCCAATGGGGACTCAGCTCCAAAACTATGAACCTTCTGATTTTGCTGGGAATCCTCTGCTTTGTGGAATTCCACTTCAACAATTGTGCTCTACTGAGGAGCAACCAGTGTTCAGAGATCAAGTTGAAGAGAAGGATGGGCTTATAACATCAGGATTTTACGTGAGTTTAGTACTTGGATTTGTTGTTGGATTTTGGGGAATTTGTGGGAGTTTGATATTCATCAGGTCATGGAGATACACATATTACAAGTTCTTGAACTATGTCTATGATTGGCTTTATGTGCGGGGCGGCTTTGATCAGGCGACGAAGAATGACTATTGGGTAAATTGTAAGTACTCTTCCACATAATGAATAATATTATTGCAGTTTTGAGTCTATTAATACGATTGGCTAAGTGTATTTTTAATTTTTTACACAGAAAACTGTAGTATAATGATAATATCTTTTTCTGAATCATTTTAGCTCGTGCATCCACCGTTCGTAAGCCATGCTCTCTTTCAGCTAGAGAAGGAGATTGAAGACTGCAACTTGAAGTTCTTTTTTTGGTTGATGTGAATCATATGATTTTTTTTTTTTTTTTTTCAAATACGACAGTGCAAATAATGGAATGATATTCAGTGAGAAAGCTAGGCCTAGTTTACGTTAAAGCTTCTTAATTTTGTGGGATTTTTGGTCTTGCAAAGATCGATGTTATCTTTGAGTGGTTAGGTCTTCTTTATCGAGAAATTTTTAGTTGTAATGGGAACAAGTGGTACACCACGTGTTTTAATAAGAATAGTGAGATCTTTTATTTTTTAAGTTATTAATTTTTTAGCACACATATCCCACAATTTGTTTAGTAACAAATGATGTAGCATCCTGTGTACCGGTCACACTAAAAAAATCTCCTCTTTATCCCCTTTTTAATAGGGGTAATGTTTAGAAGACTAAATTTGTAAACTAAGTTTTGAAAACTAAAGGACATGGAAGTTGATTATTCATTTATTACTTAAACATTGATAAATGTGTTAATTCTTATTTGTGACATATTATTTAATTTGCAAATTTAGCTCCAAATTTAGTCTATTTTTTCAATAAATTTCCTTGGGGAAACTTCTAACAAATTATTAATCAAGTTACCGAGGGAGAAAAGAAAACAAATAATTCAACCAAGAATGGAGACATTAACATTGAAGGCGTATGGTAGAATCGGTCTTCCCACGCTTTGGTTGACAATAACCTTAATGTTAAACAACAATGCTTCGGTGTTCAAAAAAAACAACAATGCTTCAGCCAACGTAAGACATGAGGGTACCAAAGGTTTTTGGTAATAGGGTCGCTGCCAAAGGTCCATTAATTTCCACATTGAACAATGACGTCCATTAATTTTTCTGATTTGGATGCTCTGTGTTAACATCATTGCTGTCTAGTTACCATTATCTTACCATTATCTTTCCGAGTTATGAGCATATGGACTATCGGGCTAATCGAATTGGTGTAGTATATTTTGTTCCAAGCGAATTGAATAATTCAATTAGTAAGTCAAATCAATACATGTCACTCGAGTTGTCTATGTCTAATTTATGAAGTATACTTGCAGTATTGCAATCTCTTCCAAATTACTTTCTAGTTTCCAATAACGAAGCCTAAATACTTTTTTAGATAACTTCATTTTAATCTTTAAAAAAGATGAGTTAGACTATAACCTTGTTTAAGATTAAAATCCAATTTTAGTCCCTAGTACATTTAATCATCTCATTTATTAGTTATATTTTGATGTTTTATTTATCTTTTTATTCCTATTTTAATGAATTAATTACATTTAAATTTAATTTATCATAACATTTTAATGTCTACATTTAGGCAACTAATTTTTTTTTTGTTTAATAATATATAGTCCAATAACAATTTTGTATTCTCTTCATTTAGGTACATTAATATATTTGAATATTTCGGTATATCCATCAATACAAATATATTGGTACATTAAACATATACATGCATTTTGGTACACACATTTGAGTTTTTATTTTTTTATTTTTTTTTGGTACAATGATATATTTTACACTAAAGCGAGGGGGGTTCGGCTAAGCCACACAATGAACAACTTAATTTGGTATCGAATTCGCCATCAACGAGATTCAAACATGATACCTCTCATTTGAGTATTGACTTTCAAGTACATTAATTCAATATACTATATTTCGGTACATACATTTCGGTACGTACATTTTGGTACATACATTTCGGTATTGACATTTAGGTACATTAATTCAATATAATACATTTCGGTACGTACATTTTGGTATGTATATTTTGGTACATACATTTCGGTACGTATATTTCGGTACATACATTTCGGTATATATATTTCGGTATATACATTTTGGTACGTACATTTCGGTACATACATTTCGGTATTGATATTTAGGTACATTAATTCAATATAATACATTTCGTACATACATTTAGGTTCATTATAATATTTTTTGGTACTATCATGTAGGTACAAAAAAGTCAATTATATATATTTTGGCACAACACAATCATGTATTTATATATTTTATATCATAAATTTCTTTTAATTTTTCTCTACCAAATCTTTGAAGACTAATGCACTGCTAAAGCTCTTTTCAAAGAACGCACAACCAAAGCCGAAGCTTTTCCATCGACCAAAGTCGAAGCATTCCCTTGAAGAATCAATAAGCACTTGTGCCGATTCCTTCAAGACTTTGTTGCAAGCTCAAAACCTGTAACGACGTTTGATTCAAGATCAAGTCATCAAGACCCTTGAATCAACGAAATCCTACATTAACACTACCTTTGCCACAGCCCTAAACCTGAGGTGAAGACTATCCACGCATTGTTTCAAGCTTAAAACTTGAAGCAATCGTTCAATCGTTCATCCGAGATTAAGTCATTGCGACCCTTGGATCAACAATCAACCAACAACATCAAATTTGAAGACTAAATCAGAGGAAAATTGTAAACAAAGATTGTAACCTACAAATTCAATCAATACAAATCTACTCTGTACACGTGTTCTCGTTTCATTTGTTACAGAATTTTCGTGTTTACAACACCATGTCTCAGAACTTGAAATGTTCTAACTTTAATGCTTATGGATATCTTATTTCCATAGCACCAATCACAATCTTGTTCCTTCCATTTAATGGGTTGTCGAACTGTAACAAGCTCGATTTCAATGATTTGGACGTTTATTGACCGAAACCACTTTATATGGGTACAAGAGGTGAATTTCCACTTGATTATCAAGAAATTGAGTAACCATTGAAGCCAACAATGGCATGGAAGAGCTGAATAAGCCTCTACCATGATCTTCATATAAAGACTTATGCCTAAAGCATAACAAATGGAAATACCTCCCGAATGAGGATTCCATAGCTCTTTGGCTCGCTCTTACAAAACGTTTAGTCATGAAAAACATTGCCTGAAGCGCACCATGATTACGTCCATGAATGAGTACAATTTTGAAGTTTATAAATTCGATCGAAAGTTGACTGGAGAATACTTTGCTCGTCCTTCCATGTTTCTAACTCGCTCTTAAAGAAGCAGTGTAGAGAACGGAAGTTTACCAAAATTCTCGGATCTGTTTACTACCACACTTATGAGAGAATGGTACCCCAGAAATTCGACTAGGAGGTATTTAATGGTATAGACCTAGATTCGGTCAGAGTCTACCGAATGGTGGTGCCCTGCTTTGGTAAGGATGCACCGACATACATGCTTTACTTCGGCAGAGGTGCACTGAACAGTATTACTCTACTTCGGCAAAGGCCTACCGAATAGATCCCTCTAGCTTCGGTTGGAGCTTACCAAACCCAAGTCTGGGTTTGTCTCTCTCACAATCTAATTTCGAGTTTGTTTATACAACGTATGGTAAAATTAGGGCTTGCCAAGGTGTGGCACCATGCCCGAAGCGTGCTCCTTGGCACCTAAGACCTAAAACTTCAAGAATAAAGGATAGTATCACTAAACCTCACCCTACAGAATCTACTTTCGTTTTGATGGAAGAGATCATTGGTTATGCACATGTTTGTGCCCATACCAATGTCGTTGAGAAGTACCATTCTCGTAATCAATATGTGAGACTAATTTTGCTCCACCGAACATCGTTGAAAAAGCAGAATTTTGACATGGATGGCCCTGTTGATCGAATCCCCTTAGTAAACCATTTACTTTGTGAACATTTTTCTATGTTCTTGGATTCAAGTTTGGTGTTCATTTTAGTTATGGATAATCTTATGGATATTGTCCTCGAATATGAATTAATTGAATCATGTTTCTTGTATACATGTGACCGAATTTAATTCAACACGTGATTAGGTATGAATGTGGAAAAGTTAGTAGTCTGGATGAATGTGATACTACGCACACTAACTTTATACCTAAATCACATCTCTAGCACCGACTTTAAGTCTATATAACTTGATTAAGAACATTGGCACGCTCCTCGTTGTATGAATGGTACTAATTACCATTTAAGAGACCTTATATTCTCTCCATTCCAGAAGAACGTCATTGTGTTTTAAGGATATTCAAGATGACAATGATCATGAATGAAACCACTAATGGAAAATAGAGTGGAATATCTTTGCACCACCTCCAAAATACAAAGCCCGAAGCTATATTTTGAGGCCAATGGGCTGCTTCCCAACTGGGATGCGCCACATGTGGCCGGCCTAAAGCTCGGTGATTGAGCATTGGTGATTGAGCAGTTTACTTGCTTTGGCACGACCATTTGGGACACTTAGGTTGAACAATGATGCTACGACGCATCTCCTTACCAAAAGTAAAGATCTTGTGCCTACAAGCACACTTTGCCAAGCTCGCTCATTAAGGGAATTTGATTTTCTATATCATTCCTTGCAAAGATACAAAACGACCTCCTTTTCACAGTGGATTCAAGGGAATATATGTGGACTAATCCAACCAAAATACGGATCATATAAATACTTATGGTTTTGGTTGATGAATCGAAAAACTGGTCACATGTTTGTCCACACATATAAGTTTGGAAGATTTGAAAATGCTGGTGAGTTTATATCGATAGTTTTCGATAAAGTATTGCATGTCTTTTGGGTTTATAATTAAACATTGAATTCTCATGTTCACCCCAAAATGGCCTCACAGAGATATCATAAAGCACAATATAAATGATCGTTCAAACCTTGGTGAACGCACCAAGCTTTCAATTTCTACCTAGGGCTATGCAAACTTGTACGCAGCTATATTGGTCCGCCTTGAGGCCCATTACCACCTAACTTATTCGACATTACAGTTGATTACCAAGTATGAACCGAACATTCGTACTTACGCATTTGGGTGTGCATTTTATGTGCCAAGTTGCGTCGCCGCAACGTACCAATATGGGTCCTCAAAAAAGGCTATGAATCTTTGTCGATTACGATTCTCTTTCCCACTAGCTCTCTTTAGAGCCTTTGCAAGCGATCCTTTTACTGCTCATTTTGCAGATTGTCACTTCAATGAGACAATCTTCGTGTCGTTAAGGGGAGATAAGAACGTCAACGTTCCTGTAAAATGACGCGAATTTGTGTGGACATTACCCACTATGTCTCATCTCGATCCGCATACCGCACAAGTGTGATACAAAAGTGGGATGTATTCTAGCTTTTAGAATGTTGCTCCAGACGTATTCCTCTAATCTAGCTAAAGGGATGAGATCATATACCAACTACAAATATGCCTGCAAGGATAGACGTACTTAACGGACATTAAGTCAACATCCTGAAGGGTGTGCCGCCCCTGAATGACGGTTTGGCCTCCCATGTCGAATGACCCGATACCTCAACGGATAGCTAATCAATAGGATTCTCTTCCCTAGAAGAGAAAGGTCACAACATAAAAGGAATCTATACTTGATTGCTATCTCAATCATTTCCATCTTATGAAATTAATCCTGATTCCTCCTGGGACTTGAAGTTCTTGGTCCAATATACTAGTTTAGATAAGATAATGGAATTGGAATGAGATTATCATCGATGAAGTTTTCACTTATATGTTAGCTACTGATGTAAATGAAAAGCAATGATATCGAACCGTGTTTCGTTGATTAATGACAACGTAGAACTGATTGGACACCGAAATTACAATCCAGGTTAAATTCCTTACCTAAGTGTGTTTGGACTTGTCATTCCTACATTGCCCAAGGTAACCCTCTTGTGTTACTAGTCGAAAAGGAAGCATAATGAGATGAATGAAATAGTGTGATATGATGCACTGCTTCCGGAGCAAGGTTTCTCTAAACGCCTAGTGATTGACAGCAGCATTATGAAATGTGGTTAATGTTTCTCTATGGGGATATTAATACGGAGATTTACATGTAAGTTCCCAAAGAATTACATGAACTAGTTCAAATAGTTTAAATCACGGAACACCCTTTCAACTCGTTTAAGGCGTTCACTTTACAGATTAAAGCAATCCGTCGGATGTGGTAATACCCGTCTAAGTGATTATTTGATCATTTATGGATATGAATGAATACCCTTACGTGTTAAACTATAAAATCTTATTTCGAATTGCTAAGAGTTATAGTTTATGTCGTTGACATGAATCTCACTAAGACTCTAGAAAAGCTTGAGAAAACTGTCTCGCACCTAAAGAAGGAATTTGAGATGAAGGATCTTGGAAAAACTCGTTTACACCTTGACCTAAAGTTCAAAGTGTTGTTCTGACAGTACTTTGGTTTACTAGTAGAACTACACCATGAAGGTGTTACCTTTGAATATACCTATGATCTTCCATACACTATATGCAAATGTGACTCTTGAAGAGGTTATGGAATTTGAAGTCCCATATCTGAGTTCAACTTTGTACTTTGTTGTACTTAGCTCATTGCATTAGACAGAACATCTTCTTCGCTATTAAAGACATTTTTTCGCTACCATCAAAAGTACTACGGATTTGGGCTAATCCCAATTCATCCCAAGCAAATCTGACCCCTTTGATCCTCAAAATGATGCTTGCCTTATTTGTTATGTTGACGCTGGTTACTTATCAAACTCGGCATTGTGCTGATGACTTCATCAACTGAACTTAGTTCATCGCTGAAGACCTAATGCACCATTTGTTGGAGTATTTACACACTCAATGGGAGTGTTGCAGTTCTATTAGATTTGGAATATGATTGTGTAAATCCTATCATATCTGGGATATCCTTGTGGGATTCTACCATATCTCTTAGACTATATATTATCCTATTAGAGTTGTAATCCTATTGGGGTAAGGAATTTACCTTCCCTACTACTGTAAATAAAGGTACAATGGGGTGAGATAACACACATCTCACAATTACACCTCTCTTTTTCTCTCTACTGTTGTCGCACCCCCTCTCTGTCTTTTATATGATTCAGTAAATTAGGCCTACAACAATAATATATTATTTAATAGTGGATTGGGCAATTGTTTTTTATTATAATTTATAAGCCAAAGTAGTGGAAATCCATCACATAAGGGGAGTAGGTTTTGACGCCTTGGAAATCAGGAGGCTTTTACTTTGGGGTTTCCCGTTTGCTCTTCCTCCCCTTCTTCTTCGATTGCTCTGCCTAATTCTCCATCGTTCTCCCGACTAATTCCCCATCTTTTTGCCCTGCAAAGTTTTCCAAAACCTAGTCATGGCTCATGGGTCAGGTCAAATTCCTCAAGCGCAGCGAAGATCCTAGAAAACGTTGCCTGCTCCGGCGAAGAAATCTGAAGCATCCAGGTCAAATTTATCCTTTTTTCCTGTAATTGCACTGTTATTTTGATTTCTTCTACTAGTCTTTCTTTCGCTCTCTCACTCTTGGATTTTATGTCGTCACCCTCCTCTTCTATGCGGTGTAGTGAAACAGCGAAGTACAATATTTTAATTGAACCGCCTAGTATGCTGCTGAAACTGCCTATCCCACCACCGAGGCCACCTAGCCCATCCAGTCGGCTGCCTAGACATCAACTAATACCCTTGCCGATTTATTGAACGTTTTTGGAAAAATCGCGATAGCGGTCCGACGCCCAATGCCTAGGCGACCGCCTTGACCACATTTTAGAACACCGCCTAGTTTACCTCTTTCCCTAGCAAGCCAACCCTCATAGTTAGGACTAAAAAAGCTAATGGAATGATATTGACTAAAAAAGCTAGGGCTTAGTTAACATTGAAGCCGATATTTTGCTTCTTAATTTTGTGGGTTTTTTTGTTTGGCAAAGATCGATGTTATCTTTAAGTGGTTAGGTCCTTTTTATCCCCCTTTAATAGTTTCAATAAATTTCCTTGAGAAACTTCGAACAAATTGAGAAAAGAAGACAAATAATTCAACCAAGATCGGAGACATTTCCATTGAGATCATATGGTGGAATCGGTCTTCCCACGCTTTTGTTGACAATGCTTCAGCCAATGTAGGACTTGTCGCAAGCTTGATATGATTCCAATGCTAGATGAAAAGTTGTTGGCAGTGAATGGTCGCTACCAAAGGTCCATTAATTTCCCCAATACATAATGAAATCCATTAGTCTATCTGATTTGGATGCTCTTTTCGTTAACATCATTGCTGTCTAGTTACGACCATCTTTCCGAGTTCTAGGTTCTGATCGTATGGGCTATCGGTCTAATCTAATGGCTGAAGTATATTGTGTTCCAAACGAATTCAATAATTTAATTAGTAATTCAAGTCAATACCTGCCACTCGAGTTGAATAACTACTATAGCTGTAATGCATACTATTCTTCTGTAAAGGGCAATTTTATGTGTACATATACTTGCAGTGTTGCAATCTTCTTCCAAATTACTTTCCAATTTCCAATAACGGAGCCTAAATACTTTTTCTTCTTCATTGTTGTTAAGATTCAAGGCGAAGGAATTAGGTGCTTCAAACTATTTCATGCTTCAAGAAAGAATGAATAAAGTCATTCATAAATATCAAAACCCATTATATTGCAGCAAACTATTTCATGCTTCAATATTTGTGGTGCTAGTTTTGCTACAATATTGCAACCTTTCCCTGTCCCTTGATTTCAATAATATTTCTCCAGGAGTAGTTGACCACATGACTATTGCTAACGTGCCGCAGGTGATGAGGTGCATTGAGAGGGAAGGGGAAGCACTGCTGACATTTAAACACGGCCTCATGGATGACTACAATCTTCTCTCTTCAGGAGGAAGAGAAGTCCACAAGCAAGATTGTTGCAAATGGATAGGCATCCATTGCAGCAACCGAACAGGCCATGTTACTCAACTTCGTCTTGGATGGTATTATTTGCGTGAAGCTTACTCACTTCAACTGAAAGGACACCCGCAGTATATCCAATATTATATGCAAGGTGAGACAATGAGTCCTAAATTGATTGAGTTGCAACATTTGAAATATTTGGACCTTCATTCCATTAATTTTAATGGGAGCCAAATTCCAAATTTCATTGGTTCTCTTTCCAATTTAAGACACCTCGATCTCTCTCTTGCTTCTTTTGGTGGTCAAGTTCCAAATTAGATCGGAAATGTTACCCACTTGCAATATCTCGATCTCAACCTCAATGACTTTAACAATGTAGAAAATATAAATTCATGGCTCCCTCGTCTTTCTTCTTTAACATTTTTGGACATGAGTTGGAACAATCTCAGTAATGCATATGACTGGTTTGAAGCAGTTAATAAGCTCCCTAAACTTACAAACTTGACACTGCTCTATTGTAATCTTCCTTCGTTTCCAATTCGTTCCAATACTCTTTTTAACATAAATTCTTCAAAATCTCTTGCTCATGTTGACCTCAGTTTCAACCAACTCACATCTTCTTCAATATTTGTATGGTTATCAAACTTCGGTACCGGCCTTGTTCATCTTGGCCTCTCTGGCAACAGAATAACTGGTTCGGTTCCGAATGCATTTGGAAACATGAGCTCTCTTTCTATCTTGATCTCTTTTTTAACCAAATTGAAGGAGGAATTCCGCAATCTTCTTCCAAGTTGTGTAATCTGCAAGCATTGAACCTTTTGAGCAACATTCTGAATGGACAGATTTCCTGATTGGTTCAAATATTAATGTCTACATGTCCTGATCAGAACTCATTAGAGACTTTAAGTCTTTCTGGCAATCATCTTTCTGGATCAATTTCTAAGCTCACACACTTTTCATTGTTGATAGAATTACGTCTCTCTAAAAATCAATTGAGTGGAACAATACCTGAAAATATTGGGCATCTGTCCAAGCTCGAGACTATCGTCCTGGGTATGAACGCTTTGGAAAGGGTAATTACGGAAACCCATTTCACTCAACTCTCCAGATTAAGGCATTTGGGTTTGTCCTCCAACTTGCTAGCTTTAAACTTCCATTTTGATTGGATTCCTCCTTTCCAATTAGATCATATAAGTTTGGGATCTTGCAAAATGGTTCCGTATTTCCCAAAATGGCTTCAAACTCAGACCGAGTATTCTTACCTTGATATTTCATATGCTGGAATTTCCGACATCCTTCCAAGTTGGTTTTGGGGCAGGCATTCAATTGAGTATATAGATCTTTCCAATAACCGAATTAGAGGAATAATTCCAAATTCAAGATTTGAGTTTCCCTCATCTTCTCCTCCTAAAGTGAATTTGAGTTGGAACCCATTGGAAGGTCCAATCCCTTCAATCCTTTCCAAGGCGTCATCTCTAGATCTCTCCAACAATAAGCTTTCAGTGTTAATTTCTTTGTTGTGTCCAAAGACTCCAAACAAGGTTAGTAACTTAGTCTTTCTTGATCTCTCAAGCAACAATTTATATGAAGAACTTCCTGATTGCTGGACACATTTTGGAAATATAGTCTTTCTTGATTTGAGTGATAGTTCTTTTTTTCGGTAAAATTCCTACCACAATGGGCTCTTTATCTTCTATTCAAACAATGAGGCTAAACATGAATGGGTTCGTGGGGGAATTGCCTTCATCCTTGAAGAACTGTACAAGACTCGTATACTTTATGTTGTAGAAAATAACTTATCAGGTTTGATACCTGAATAGTTAGGGGTTGGACTTTCAAATTTGGCTATCCTTATCCTGTGTTCTAATTACTTCTATGGAAGCATTCCATTACAATTGTGTAATATGAGAGGCATTCAAATTCTGGATTTCTCGATGAATAACATCTCTGGAAGTATACCCAAATGCCTCAACAATTTGACTAATTTGGCTGTAAGAGGAAGTTCAAGACTAGCTATCACTCATACCTATAATGTAACCTCGATTCACTTTTATGATTATTATGATGACGAAGCATCCTTGATATGGAAAGGCGTAACGTCCAAATACAAAAGTACTCTGGGGCTTGCAAAGAGTATTCATCTGTCGAGTAACCGATTAACGAGGGAGATTCCTAGTAAAATCACTGATCTTGTGGGGTTAGTTTCTTTGAATCTGTCGAGAAACAATTTGACAGGCCAAATAACTCCAGCAATTAGGAAGTCAGCTTTGCTACAATCCCTTGATTTGTCAAGCAACCAAATGTATGGAAGAATTCCATCAAGTCTTCTTCAAATTTATGGTCTTGGAAGATTGGACTTGTCAAACAACTTATCTAGAAAAATTCCAATGGGGACTCAGCTCCAAAGCTATGATCCATCTGATTTTGCTTGGAATCCTCTGCTTTGTGGAATTCCACTTCAACAATTGTGCTCTCCTAAGGAAACAAGTCCAGATGAGCAACCAGTGTTCAGGGATCAAGAAAAGGATGGGCTTATAACATCAGGATTTTATGTGAGTTTAGCACTTGGATTTGTTGTTGGATTTTGGAGAGTTTGTGGGAGTTTGATATTCATCAGGTCTTGGAGATACATATACTACAAGTTCCTGAACTGTGTATACAATTGGCTTTATGTGAAGATAGCGTTGTTCAGGCGACGAAGAATGATTGATGGATAAACTGTAAGTACTCTTCCACATAATGAATAATATAATAATGCAGTTTTGAGTGTATTAATACGATTGGCTAAGTGCTTTTTTATACAAAAAAAATTAAGTGTAATGATATGGCATCATTGTCACCATGATTCATATCATTTTGGTTCTTTCTAATTGTCTCTAAATTTATGACTAATATATGTCGTTTTTCTGAATATTTATAGCTCGTGCATCTACCGTTCATAAGTCATGCTCCCTTTCAGCTGGAGAAGGAGGAGATTGAAGAGTGCAATTTGAAGTTATGGTTTGGTCAAAGTGTTGTACTTGATTTAGCGGCCTTCTTGTTTTTGTAATGAAGTTATTTAGATTATCACTTTTTACCATGTGTATCCTTTTATCCTTTTCAATAAACTTCCTTGAGAAACTTGCAAGAACTTATTAATCGAGTTACAGAGAGAACAAGCAGGCAGATAATTCAATCAAGATTTGATACATTAACATTGCAAATAGCGTACATTACATTAACAGATAATCCAATCAATATATCTCACATCATCGATTACTGATTCTTTACAGTTCAAGTCGGATCAGAATGCATTATTTGGACAACAGAGAAAAACAATTCAAATCATTAAAATCTGATTTGAGTAAGAGCTCACTATTTGTTTAATTGACTATTCTCATCATTCATTAATTCATCATTGCCACCAGCCAACGTAAAACATGAGGTTACCGGTGTTAGCCAAGGATCTCAGGTAGTATGATGACAGAGAAAGATATTCAAAGAGAGATTGTAGAGAGAGAGGAGGGAAAACAATGATTCAATCTATATCTTGCTTAATGAGGAAGCTATTACAAGACAGAATAATTATAGTACCAGACCACACTAACAAACTCAACAAACTAGCTAATTGGTTTACATGTGGCAACATCTCAGCCTTACAATATTATACTTCTAACATCCCCCTCAATCTCATGCTTGGAGCTGCCGAGCATAAGATTGTTACAATGAACCCAAAAAATAGAAGCACTCAACCCTTTTGTTAGAATGTCAGCAAATTGTTCTTGATAGGACACAAATTGAACAAGCAACTTCTTAGCAACTCTCTCTCTCTCTCTCTCTCTCTCTCTCTCTCTTTCTCTCTCTCTCAGACACACACACACACACAAAGTACACATCTATTTCAACATGTTTAGTGCGTTAATGTTGAACTAGATTGAATGACAATGCAATTGCTGAAAGATTATCACAAAACAGCACAGGAGGAGGACTAATTGGAACCTGCAGAAATATCAAAAGTTGTTGTATCCAGTCCAATTCAGCAACCATGGAAGACAATGCTAGATATTCAGCTTCAGTGGAAGACCTCTAGAAACTGTTTGTTGTTTCTTAGAGACCAAGAAATTGGATCGGAACCTAAGAAGACAACTAAACCTGTTGTAGATCTCCTATCATTGGGATCCCCAGCCCAGTCAACATTACCAAAAGGCTTTGATATGCATATTTCCTTTGGAATATGACAATCCAAGTTGCACAGTGCCTTCCAAGTACCTTAGGATCCTTTTAACAGTGGTGAAATGAGAGTTCATTGGTTCTTGCATAAATTGGCATACCTGATGAATAAAAAAGGCAATATATGGCCTAGTGAATGTAAAGTATTGGAGAGCCCCTACTATGCTTCTGTACAATGTTGGATTGTTATAGGGTTGTCCATCATCCTTCAATAGTAATAAAGGAAGACATGAAGTTTCACGAGCCTTGGAGTCACTCATTTTAGTTTTCTGCAGCAGATCCTGTATATATTTAGTATGAGATAAGAACATACCATTAGAATTCCTAGTAATTTGAATTCCCAGAAAATAGTGTAAAGGACAAATCCTTTATATCAAACTCAGTTGTTAGAGCATGAATAACATGTGTAATTGCTGCATAACTACTTCGTGTGATGATGATATCATAAACATATAACAATAAGACCACAACAGATTTGCCAGCTTGCCTGAGAAACAAGGAAGAGTCAGAATAAGTGTTTTTAAATCCCAGAGAAGGAAGAAATGCAGTGAATCTTTCATTCCGAGCCCTAGGGGCTTTCTTCAACCCATATAGTGACTTATGTCACTTGCATACTAACTCAGGATGATGAGCATCTGCAAACCATGGAGGTTGTGCTATATACACCTCTTCTTGAAGAATTCCATGCAAAAAAGCATTTTTGACATCAAGTTGTCCGAGTGGCCAATCAAATTGAACTGCCAATGCCAAAATTAACCTTAGAGTAGTTGGCTTCACCACAGGACTAAAGGTTTCTCCATAGTCTAATCCAGGTTCTTGACTAAACCCTTTTGGTACCAACCTAGCTTTATGTCTAGCTATAGAACCATTAGAGTACTTTTTGATCTTGAAAATCCATTTGCATCCCACTAAATTCTTATGGTGTGGTAAGGAAACCAAACTCCATGTCCCTTGTTTATACAATGCATCCAGTTCCTCTTTCATAGCATTCAACCAAACTGGAACTTTAATTGCAGATTTGTAAGTGACAGGTTCAACCCATGAAAGATCAACACTGGTAGAATCATATAGTGTTGTCAATAGTTCCTCTTCTTAACAATCCCACTTTTACTCCTTGTTTGCATAGGATGTAAATTTAGTGGTGGGACAAACAACACAACTTGACGACTATCATGACTACATTCAAGTTCCACAAGGATTTCAGGATATGAATTTGCAGCTGCAGTAATGGACTGAGATGTAGGATTAGTGGTTAGTTGTGAGGGTAATGGTGAAGTGGCAGAAGTTACAGGGTTTGGTGATGATAACAGCAGGACTAAGAGATGACAATCTGAGTGACACTGGTGTTTGACATGTATGTGATGATGAATAAAATGGAAATGACACTAATTCATTATGAATGTTTGGGACATGTAATGGATATGTAGTGGAGGTACATGCTTGTGTATGTCTTATTTGAAAAACTTGCTGCTGTCAATGAGGCTGAATAAGGAAATTCTTTTCATCAAAGATAACATGTCTGGAAATGTAAAACCTTTGATGTCAAAGTTCATAACAAATGTACCCTTTCTATTTGGAAGCTACCCAAGAAAGACACACTTAGTTGTTTTTTGTTCCAATTTGGTATTGTTGCAAGGCTTAAGAAGAGGATAACAAGTACACCCAAATGCCGTTAAATGTGAAATTAAAGGTATATCCCCAAACAAAAGTTCAAATGGTGACTTATTCTGCAAAATTGCAGACAGCATCCTGCTAATGAGATAATTGGTAGTTTGACAAGAAAATGACCAAAACTGAGGTGGCAACTGAGCATTTTGAAGAAGTGTAATCATGGTTTCTACCAAATGTCTATGTTTTCTCTATGCTAGCCCATTCTGCTTAGCAGTATAGGGACAAGATATTTGTTGAGCAACTCCCTTTTCTTTAAGAAACTTTTGAAATCTATTACTAAGGTAATCCCCACCCCCATCACTTTGCAACATTTGAGTTGATACTGAGAATTGAGTAAACACAAATGAACAAAATCCAACAAATGTGTCAAACAAATCTAATTTAAATGAGAGGAAACAGCCAACAATACCGAGTCTGTTCATCAATGAATGTTACATAATATCTGAAACCATCAGCAAAAATACATGGTGCTGGACACTTTATATCACTATGAACACCTCAAAAGGTTTGACAGCCTTATTGACACTACATTGAAATAGCAGTTTACTAAACTTGCCTTCTAAGCAGCTTTGACACAACACAGGTAACTGAGCTTTTGTACAAGGTATTTTAGCTTTACTAAGCATTAAAGACACAATGGGATTAGAAGGATGACTTAGTCTACCATGCCAGATAGTAGAAGTAACAAGTTGACCAAGCAAAGCAATGGGTTGCAGGTTCTGTTTCTGAGATGCAGGATGATGATTGGCAAGTGAAGGAATTGGATATAGTCCATTACTGCAAATTCCTTTGAACATTATCTTCCCGGTGGCTTTGTCCTGTATCCAAAAGTTAAACGCATCAAATATTAGCCAATGACAGATTTTGTGCACAAATAACAAGTTCTGAGACAATTTAGGCACATATAATACATAACTCAGTTTAATGGGATGTATAGAGTTTTGAGAATTGTACTGCCAATATGGGATACTCTCAGACCTTCACCATTGGCAGTTTGCACTGTTTCAAAAGTAGGATAAGGAGTAGCCAGAGACAAGTTGAAACCTGCAATCATATGATTGGTTGCACCAGATTCAGCAATCTAAATTTGATGAGAAGCTTGAGTGGAAGACATGTGAGGAGTGGACTGTGAAGGTTGAGAAAATACAGTGTTCATTGCTTGCATGGAATACTATGTAGTATATGAACTGCTAGGCATGACAGACTGTTGTTGTTGAAATTAAGGATCTTTATCCTTGTAAAAACAGTACTGAGGTCTATGATTATTTCTTCCACAAATGTAGCACTTAGATTTAGGCCTGAACTGATTAGGACAAAATGGTGCAGTGTGCCCTTCTTGATTGCACAACTGACGCGTGTTGAGAGGTTCAATTATAGAAAAATGTTCTTTGAGATGAGTCCAAATGTTCTTAGAACTGGTGCTCCCTATAGTACAAGAAACAACCACAGGTGACAGTGTTGCAGTAATTAACTGCATAAGTGCATGATCATGCATCTTCCACACTTTATACTCATCATTTTCAACATTAGCAGATGAATTACCAGAGTTGACCTCAGATGCACCAGATTCAGAAGATGTAAAACAATGAGGACATGGGGAAGAACCATCAACAAACCCCATAATACCATGTCCATCCGGCATTAATTCCATTTGAAGGTGCCGGTTAAGGTAAATAGATTCATCCTATTTGATATTCACAGAATTAGAGACGGAAGAAATCAACCAAGTAATTGGGGATTGCAAAATCTAAAGTTGCGTCGCAGTTACCATCTTTATAGAAGAAGAAGAAACTAAGAAAGAGAATACCTTTTTGATTCAGAGAAAGAATCAAACACCTAGGGTGCAGACGAAGAGATTGATCAAGAAATCAAGAATCTTGATTTGGTGTAGAAACCCCAGAATCTTGAACACCAATTCGGAGACAGAAGATCACCAGGAATCACTAAGAAGATAGATGATTCAATGATTCAGACCAGACCATGTTCGATAGAGCCGATGCATGCAATATTGCATTAACGTAATGGAGGTCAAACACCAGGGAAACTAGATTTCCGCACACAGCACGCCTAATAGTCCATCGGTTCAGCTGCGCAATGTTAGAAAATGGATAAGGACCATATTCTAAAATAATAATAAAGTAACATATTAGTTAGAAATTAAAATGAATGAAAATGTCAAATTGACACCTAAGAACATCTGTAAAGGAAATGTCAAAATCTTAAGTGAAACACCACTGTGCATATTTGACA